TGGGTAAATAATCTCCGTTTTGCATTCCACCTTAGCACAGCAAGTGAGATAAGAATTGTGTTTTCCTTCTCTGCTTGTCTCACAACTTCTCTCTGTTCAGAGGGCATGTGAATACCACACTTTCCCACAGGGATGCTGGGGCTGAGGGCCTTTCCCTGCCCCAGCATCACCCACTGCTGGGGCAGAGTTGGATAAAACCTTCAACAACCCCTGGCCTTCACGTTCCTCTCCTCCTTTCACCTCTCCAGTGAATACCAAGCTCCCAGTTCAACAGTTCATGCAGCGAGCACGCACACCCTCCATCCTCCCAAGCTTCTCCCCATTCCACCATCCTCACCTGGCTACCTGGGAGCGCTGCCCCAACAGCACCTCCCCTTGGGAAATCCCAGCTCTGCCATCACCACAGCCCCGCAGAGCGGAGGATCCCAGCGCGGGGACGCCGTCCTTCCCTCCCCGCGCCCGTCGGCGCTGGCCGGCGCTGAGCCCACCCGCGCCAGCCGCCGGGTGTTCTCCCCGCTCTGACAGCTGTACGGAAATTGGAAGGCGACGCTGACATGTGTCAACAATAACCAGCGAACAAGCGCCAGCGGCGGCGGCGGCGGCTGTCCCCACCACCTCGAGGAGGCTGGCCACTCTTGGCTGAAATCACGGCACGTTGCGGCTGGAAGCAGGAGTATTGTTTCAATTATTTCCATTATATAAAGTCAGGCCATTTAATATATTCTGCCTCAAAGGGGCTCAGCTAAAGAGATAAAATAAACACTGGAAATCTGCTCTGCTGACATGGACCAGGAATTCAGTTTCGACACCAAGCCTTCCTTCTCATCTCACTGCTTGTCTTCCCTTTCCTCCCGGCTCTCTCTCCTACTCTTGCTGCCCCTTGGCCTTCAGTGCCACTTGATGCCAATTCCCTGTTTGGGCTTTGCTCCTGTTTTGGCAGCTGGAGCACTTGAAGGCCATGCAGCCATGCTGGCGTCCAGGACTGGAGCAAGCCAGAGAAGCCAAGAAGAGATGTGGAGCTCCAGAGCTTGCTCTGGGATGAAGGATGTGATTTATGGCAAATCTTAAGCCTCTTGGGATGCCACATTCCCTGAGAACAGCAGGAATGGCGGGTGGCACAAACCCAGGAATGGCTGAAGTGTGGCATGAGGAGGAGGAGGAGAAGGAGGAGAAGGAGAAGGAAAAGGAGGAAGAGGAGGAGGAGAAGGAGGAGAGAGCAAATGTGCCATGAGCGTGCTGCGGGCTGCACTTGGCAACGTCAGCACTAAAATCAGCCACCGTCACACCTTTCTTCTCATCTGGGAGAGCTGATGGCACCCCAGCATTGAGGGGCCTCACTGGCTCTGTGCTGGCAAGGGAGGTGGTGAGTTGGGCTGCCCGGAGGCTGGAGTTGCTCCCACCAGCTCTGACCAGACAGGAGCTGCTTCCCATTAATGCTTCCCACGACATCAGCCTCCCCAGAGCACTCCTCCCTTGCAGGGCTGTGCTAATCCAGGTGTTCCCAACGTGTTGGCATGTGGGAAGGAGCACCAGCCAGAGCAGCAGTAAATCTGATACTTGCCCTTTCCCAGCACATTTCCCTGCTCCAAGCTCTGCCTCTCCTGGATCAGGGTCATGGGCAGTGCCACCCCCAGGGACTGGGTGATGGAGGGAGCCGTGTCACGGGATGCCAGCGAGGGCTGTGGTGCAGCGTGAGGTGGAGCTGGCTTTTCTTAAGAGCGGGGAAAGGGCCTCTGCCGAACTGGCGCGAGAGCAGCTGTGACTTTCCATTCCTGTGGGAAGTGGGCTGCCACCGTCCAAGCATCTGGGCTTGTTATGATGGGAGAGGAATGCCAAGTATTTTTCTTCCTTATCCACTACCATCCGCTCAAACCCTCCCCTGATCAAACCCACATTCATCGCCTGGGATGCACTGGGGAAGATCCCTCCCAGCCCTCGTGGCTGCTGGGAGCTCATGGCACCTGTAGAGAAAACCCCGCCCTCGTCCAGGGGCTCCCTCCATCCCCCTGCCCCTTCCTGTCTCCTGCCGCTAGCCAGCTCCAGACATTTAATTTTCACTTTATTACCTTTTCTAGGAGCATCCGTGCACCTGCATCCGTGCACCTGCATCCCCGTGCCCCCACCTCTGTGCCTGCATCCCTGCTGACCTGTGGGCCCGGCGGGACCACACCGTCCCCTCCAGAGCCCTGAGCATCCCGAAAGCAGCCACTGGGATGGTGCCACGGGCGTGTGCCCTGGGGCGCCTGCCGTGCCGGGAAGCAGGCGGTGCAGCTTTGGAAGGTCACCAAGATTTTTCCGAAGATGAAAGTGTGCTCAAGTGTCAAACAAACTTTCCAAATTATCTTTCTGGACACTTTCTCCCTTCTGCTTTGGAAGACGGAGGAGGAACATTTCATTCCCTCTGTGCTGGCGTGGAGCGGGGCTGCGTGAGGAGCCGGGAGCCGCCAGCGGCACCCGCGGCTCAGCCTCGCTTCTCGCCGACATCATCCCTGAGTCACCGCGGGTGCTGCCCTGGCATCATCAGCTGGGCTTTCCCCTCCCCGCCGCCCCCCAAACCCCTCCCAGCACAACAGAGGGTTGCCAGGTGCCCAGTTAAACAGCAGACAGCACCTCTCCTCCCACCGACAGTAGGATTTGTCATAAATAGACAAATTAAGGGAAACGTGTGGATTTCTCTGCTCTCTCAGGGATACCTGGCACACAGCAGCAGGGGCATGGGGACAGCAGCTGTGCCGCCCTTGGCAAATCCCCCGTGATCCCAAACAGCTGGGGATGGGCTGAGCAATGGCCACGTGGTGCCCCCAGGATCCAGCACTAATGAGAGCTGTCTAATTAGTGCGTCCTCCTGTGACGGGTCACCCTGGCAGGGCTTGTGCCGACATCCGCTCACCCATGCCAGCAGCCAGAGAGCGTGACCTGGAATGAGGTGCTTCCCTGGCCCTTGCCCAGTGTTTGCCTTCCAGGTCTGGACAAGGAAATTCCCTATGGGCTCCAGGGCAGCCGTGCTGGCACCCAACAGGACTTGTGGAACCTCCTTGCCCTGTGGCATCCACGTCCCATCCCAGTCACTGCCATCCACTCCGATGCACCTGCCTGCAGCCAGAGTTTGGAGACACTCAGATATCCCCAATGCCATTGCCATATTCCTATTTTTCCATGCTGGGATGGCAGCAGCATCCCCATGTCCACATGGGCCCCAGCCCTTGCAAACTCCTGATGGTGATGCCATGCTGCAGGTTTGGTTGTTTATGGAAATTTCATCTGAGCCAGATGCTGCAATTTATGCATTTTATGTGTAATTTTTCAATTTATTTCATAATTAGAAAAAAAAAAAAAAAACCTAAAGTGATCCTAACCATTATTACTCCTGGTTTCCTCAGTTATTATTCCTGGTTTCCTACATGGAGGCCAAAGGGGTCTGAAATGGCTCCTTTGTTGTCTGATCATTAACCCTTCAGGAATGAAAGGCAGCAGTGCCGGATGGGAGAGGTGGGGAGAGAGGCTCGGGGGGGCTGGGGGAGAGAAGGGAAACAGGAGGGAGAAATTTGAGGGGTAGAGAGAAGATTAACCCCAATGTACTGTCCCAGGCATGGCTGGACACCCCAGGGCACTGATGGACACATCCACTGCAGCCCCGTGGGTGCTCCACTCTGGTGCCATGGGTTTGCTGGCTCTCAGCACCCCCAGCCCCTTCGTCCCTCCCAGGCAATGCAGACCCAGAGCTTCCCGGGTGGAAAGGAGCCCCGCTGCTGTGTGGGATGAGCAGGTGGATGCTGATCTGCCCCAGGGTGCTCAGGGGGGTCCTGTGTGCCCAGAAATTCTCTCAGTGCCCCCTCTGGGGGGAGGAGAGGGGCGCCATGTGCTGGTTTGCACATGGTGATGACAGGAGTGAATGTGCTGTCACTGGCGCTGTCACCGGCGGCCAGTGGCCTCGGAGTCCTGGCTGGGACGTCACCAGGCTGTGGCACAGGGTTGGGACAACGGGACGAGCACGTGGGGCTCCCACGATGGGGACCTGTGCCCATAGGTCGCCTGGGTACCTGGCGAGTGGGGTGTCCCCCTCCTGTCCTGCGCCCCACCTCAAGCACAGCCCCTAGGGTGGGTTTTGGGGAGCACAGCGTGGGACAAGGGGTGTGGACAGCCGCATGGGAGCCCAGAACAGCGCAGTGAGCTCGTCTTGGCTTGGAACAGCTTGGCACAGCTCGGCTCGGCTCAGCTTCGCTCCCGCAGCTCGGAGGGAGGTGAGTTAAGACGCGCTCGGAAAATCAGAGTCAGCTGCAACCCTGGGGACAGCCGGGGCAGACCCGCAGCCGCCGCCGGAGCTGCCGGAGACCCACCACGGCTCCCGGCGACCGGGGGGCTCAGCCCTGCCCGGGGGGCTCAGCCCTGCCCGGGGGCTGTCACCGGCCCCCCCAGCCCTGCGGGGACTCGGAGCGGGGGCTGAGCCGGGGGGGCCGAGCCGGGGGGGCCGGGCAGGCAGCGTCACCCTCCTGGCTCCACCCCCCCAAAATCGCAGGGGGCTTCGCTGTGACCCCGGCGCTGGGATGGCAGCGGGACAGTCGGACCGCGGCGGGACGGCGGGACGGTTCCCAGCCGAGGTGGTGGCTGGAGTGCTCCGGGGGGATCCAGCCAGGGCGTTTGCCAGTCGCTTTGTTGCTGCTGGGGGATTTTTTATTTTTTTTCTTAGGATTATTATTATTTTGAAAGGGAGGGTGAGGAGAGGGGGCTGACACTGACTATAAAGGCAGAGCTCCCTGGAGCAGCCGGCACTTCCCCGCCACCATGAGCACTCCCCGGGCCTGACAGCCCCAGCCTGCCCCACTGCCGCCGGCTCAACTGCCCTGAAGTGTGGCTGTGTGTCCGAAGCTCGGGTTGGGATGGTGTGAGCCCGGAGCCGCTCGTCGCCCTCCCACCACCCCTCACCGGCTCTGGCAGGAGCCGAGCCCGCCAGCCGCTTGGATGATTTGATTTCTTCCCTGTCCGACATCACTCCTGCCCAGATGCAGTGGATAATATTCATGTTGCTGTTATTCATCAGCTCCATGGAAATGCTCACGCAGAACCGGTGGAAGAAGCAAGGTACAGTGTGCACGGTGGGCTCGTCCCGCTCGGGTCCTGCGGGGTGGCTTTGGGACACCAGGCTGCCTGTCCTGCCTGCACGGAGCAGGAAGGAGTTGTGAACAGGGACTGGAGGTGCCAGCAGCCAGCAAACCCCCAGCCCCTCGCCTTGAGCCCCTTTGGGGACCGTCTGTGCTCCCCTCTGGGTGCGTGGCACGGGGCTGGCTTGGCAGTGTGGAAGATGCAGAGCACAGCCCCACCGCCCTGCCTGCCCGGTGCCAGCCCTGCCTTTGGGGCTGGCAGGACACAAGGGACACTGGCTGGCACTGGGACCAGCTCTGCAAACCCCCGCAGAGGCAGACACGGTGGGGATAGCACAAAATGGGCTGATTTTCTGATATTTCCTTTCTCTGCATAGCACACTAAGTGCTTTAGGAGTAAAACCTCCTGGAAGGATGCTCAGAGCCACAGCAGGCACTGCCTGTCCCCTGCCCCATCCTTTCCCCAGGAAGAGGCACCAGCTGAGCCCCTGCTCAGTGCCTGGGCAAGGGCAGGGTGTGCTGGGGCTGTGCCGAGGCACGTGCCCCCTCCCTTGGGCACTGGCTCGTGTCCCCTCGCTGGGCAGTGCCAGGCAGTGCCAGCTGGCTGTGTGGAGTGGGTCCAGAGCTGGTTCTCAGCCCTGTGCCAGGAATGCCTTGGTTTTGGGGCCAACATGTGCCAGGGTAGGGGCAGGACGTGCCAGGGTAGTGGCAGGACGTGCCAGGACCAGGCTCTCAGGGCTGGAGCCTGGAGAGCTTCCTTGAAGTTGTTCCATGTTAAAGGCATGCGGAGGCAGTAGGTGTGGGTGATGATGTGGGTGGCCAGACTGGTGGCCAAAACACCCCTGATGGGAAACAGCCAAGCACCAAGAGGGGCTCCAGCTACCACTGCTTGATGCAATGCTCCAAAGGCCTCAGGTCTTGGCAGCCTGGGGGTCTGGCTGTGGTTTCACACCCCAGACATGTTATATACCCTGGGATAACCTGCACAGAAAAGCCAGCTCAGGGTCCAGGAGCCACAAAAGATGCTGCAGCACCCCACAGCTTCCCTACTGCCACTGGAGCTCTGGTCTGGGCAGTGCAGTGCCCCAGGGACTCCTGGATCCCAGCAGGACCGGCATAGGATGGGCAGAGATGGGGGATGTCACACCCATGTCCAGCAAACTCAGGTACCCACTGTGCCCCATGCCCAGTGCCCATCCCAGCTCAGCCCTGCACTCTGCCATCACCACTGGACAGGAGATGAACCCACCTCTTGTTCCTAATCCCCAAGCCCATGGTTTCAGAGTGAGCCACATTCTGTTGCTCTCTGTGGTGGCTCCCAGTGTCACTCTTGGTGGCAGAGATGTGTGTGCCATGCCAGCAGCACTGTGGAGTGGAGGAGGACTCCCCACTTCTCCCAGCTCCATACCATGGGATTATTTCCCAAGCCAGTGAGAGGAAGGAGGCCTTGGAGCCCAGCCAGGGTTCCCCACCTTCTTTGCCCTGGCTGGAGGTGGAAGGAGAGCAGCAAAAAAAACCCCTAAATATCAAAAAGAATTAGGGAAGGGAAAGAGGCTCGTAAATCCACGGGTCTCCAGGGAAGCCACTCCAGCTGCAGCCAGGAACACAAATGTTGTCAGCGTTTGGTAAATATGTAACGGAGACCATAACAACTTAATGGATCCAAGGTGCTTCGTTAGCGCTCCCAGCAGACGCAGCTCTAATGAGGGCTCCTGGCAGTGCTGCCATCCCAGTGTGCCCCAGAGAAGCGACTGGGATGAGCCAGCTTGGGGACAGCTGCATGGCACTGCAGCACCGTGGACTGGCTTGTGCCAGGGACCACCGGGGGCTGCGAGGCACCGCCCGCCATCATCGTCTGACAGAATCCTCTGCCAGCATCTCCCCGGCTTCCCAGCACCTCTGCCCCAGCCCCACAGCCGTGGGACCCTTCTGGTGCAGCTTCTGGGGTCAGAGGGACCAGTGCCAGGCATTGCTGCCAGGGCTGAGTCTGTCTGTACCAGGCAGCACCCAGCACGTGGCTCGGGCTTGTAGCAACCTTGTGCAGTGGAAGGTCTCCCTGCCCATGGTGGGGGGCTTGAGGTGACCTTGAAGGTCTCTTCCAACCCAAACCATTCTGTGATCTATGGTTCCATAGAGCCCACGTCCTAAGCAGGCTGTACCAGGGCTTGTGGCACTGTCACTGCTGCTCAGGCTGTGGTGCCAGAGCCAAGCAAACAGCTCCCAACAAAGGGGCATGGTGAAGGCACTGGATGCTTGCATGCAGGAGTTCAGTACCCCCTTTTGTGGCTTTTCAGTGGGCTCAGAGAGCAGGAGCAGTTGTTGGTGTTTCTGTGGCCTGGTGGATGTTGGCACCCTGTCCTTGTCCCTGGGAACAGAGGTCACCCACCTCAGGGTCAGTCACTCGCCCACAGCCTGGGAGTACAGCACAGGCAGCCAGGGAGGCAGCAGAGGCTCTTGAGCAAACAGACAGATTCTTTTCTCAGCTCCTCTTGAGTGCATCCAAAATGCCCTTTGTCCTCTGACACTTGAGAGGCATCAACTGATTAATCCAGGTCAGATCACATTCCCACCGCTGACCCAGTGGTTGTTCCACTTCCCACGGGATGGGCAAGGCTGGCTTGGGGTGTGCCTCTGTCACCCATGGGCAGTGCAGGGCATGGGGCAAACCCTCAGTCTGGATCTTGGGGGGATGGAGGCCACCAGTGCTGACCAAGCTGGGAGCGATGGCTCCATGTGTCCCTTGGCTGCAGCGTGGACAGAGGTGGGGATTTGAGGAGCAGAGAGAAGTGGGGTGGCATTTGCAGGGAGACAGGACAGCGCTGTCCCCTGGTGTGTCAGAGAGGGGGCTGCCACGAGGCTGGGGTCCCCACTCAGCACCTGTGTCACAGCCCCTCTCCTCATTTGTCCCCGCAGCGAGTGCTGGCCTGCTGGAAAACTGCACGGGCTGCGTCCTGTGCTCTGAGGACAACGGCTGCATCACCTGCCACCACCGGCTCTTCCTGCTGATCTGGAGGGACGGCATCCGTCAGTACGGGATGTGCGTCCACACTTGTCCCCCAGGCTACTTTGGCGTGCGGGGTCTGGAGGTCAACAGGTGCACAAGTACGTCCCGCGCCGGCCGGGGTCCCCCTGCTCCTGCTAGTGCCCCCTGCTCCCCTCGGCGCCCTGCGGGTCCCAGTGCTGCGGGAAGGGCGATGGCTTCATTTCCCACAGCGTTCCTGGTGGCACTGGATCCAGGGCCGGCCGGCTTGGGGGGGCTTCGTCCCCTTTTCCCTTGCCCAGAGCCGCAGCCTGGACCCCGCAGGTTCTGGGTCCCCGGTGGGTTTTGGGTCCCGCTGACCGGCCGTCCCTCCCGGCAGAGTGCAGGTCGCCCAGCTGCGAGAGCTGCTTCAGCAGAGACTTCTGCATGAAGTGCAAGGACAAGTTTTACTTGTACAAGGGCCAGTGCTTCCGGCAGTGTCCCCCCGGCACCGCGGCACAGCCCGGCACCCGCGAGTGCCAAGGTAAGCAGCACCCGCACCCTGCCCGCCGTCCTGGGGACGTGCCTGGCTCCGAGGGTCACCAGTCCTGTCCCTGTCCCTGCAGAGACGTGCGAGCCGGGCCCCTGGAGCGAGTGGAGCGCCTGTACCCACGAGAGCCGGACCTGCGGCTGCAAGTGGGGCGTGGAGACGCGGGTGCGGGAGGTGCCGGAGGCTGCCCGGGAGGAGGGCACTGCCTGCCCCGCGCTGCTGGAGACCAGGAGGTGCCGCATGAAGAAGCACTGCCCGGGAGGTGAGCACCGCGCCGCCGGGGCTGGGGACAGCTTCGCGTCCCTCCAAAGCGAGCCCGAGGGGCGCTGCAGGAGGACGGTGGCAGCAGGGGTCTGGCAGTGGCCGGCGAACCATGCTGTCATCCCCCAAGCATTTTGAAACTCTGGGTAAAGCCGTCATCTCAGGCACATGTGCTGAGCAGCCCTAGGGCTGGCTGCTCCCACCTGGCAGTCCCCGAGACTGCCTGGGACGAGCCAGTGTCCCCTTCCATGCTGGGCTGGGCTGGGCTGGGCACTGGCACGAACCGCCGTGGTGGGATGAGGCTGCCGAGCTCCAGCTCCCATCCTGCCACGACGTGAAGGGAGGCTTTCTGTACTGCAGCTGTGGGTAAGGAGGGTTGAGACACACAGGGGAGGTTCCTGCAAAAACCTCTGAGCTCCCTAAAAGCTGGAACGCTCGTGGAGCAGGAGGGCATCACCCAGGGGATTTCTGATGGCAAGTTTTGGGAGACACCCCAGGGCACAGTGCCCATCCATAGCTCATCTGGCCAGATGTTCACTCGTGCTCCTGCACTTCCCCCCACCTCATTCCCAGGCTGGGGGCTCCCTGGCTCAGGGATCTCCCCACCTTTCACACACCAGACCCGCTGCAGGGTCTGTCCGGGCGGTGCGTGCGCGGGTGCAGGGCTGGCGATGGGAACCAGGACGTGGCTGATGTCATTTTTGGATGCAGGCGTCTGGACTGAAGCTACCCTAATAAATCTCCACTTAATAACTGGCAGAAAGGGGGATGCATGAGATACCGATCTGAAGTGCCTGGCAGCAGATCTGAGCCAGCGAGGGTTGCGGTTCGGAGCTGCGGGATCGCTGCGCCGTGGGATGAGCCGGCCGGCACCGCCAGCGTGGCGGGGATCAGAGAGGACAGGACTGTGAGGGTGGAGAGAAAAAGGATGAAGAAGGGGGGCAGCAGCAGAGGACGTGCGTGCTGGGCGAGGGCCACGGAGCCAGGAGAAAGGTTTCATCCCAGCAGCATCAATCATAAGTAATATTTTCCTGCTGACAGTGCAGAGGAGCTGCTTCCCTTCCCCACCCAGGTCCCAGCTCACGTCTTTGGGGTGCCAGGTGGCTTCGATTTTGAGGATGTTCTCCTCCCTGCTGGTGTGTGGCAGCTCCAGACCCGCAGAGCTGGTGATAGTTTGATGGAAGAAATTTAGTGTGGGAGGACAGGCTGCTCCATAGCACTGTGTCCTGGAGCACCGTGCCCATGCCCTGCCCTGCCTGGCACACAGCGGGTCCCACTGGCAGGGACTGCTGTCCTGTGTTTCGGGGACACCTCATCTTGTGAAGTTACTGGGAAGGCACTGGCACCCCAGAAAAGTGCTTGGCCTTCTGCCTCTGCCTGTGCTCCTGCAAGCTGGAAGCCGTGGGGCTACGGTGGTGGGCTCAGGGACTGGCAGGACTCTATTCTTGAGGCTGCTATCTGGGATCAGCTTCAGAGACAGCCCTGTCCCCTGCCCAGCAGAAGGAATCCCATGAGTGCCCCCGAAGCGACCCCCTCAGGAGAGAGAAGCCCCTCCATGTCCCCCACTCCTGGGCAGGCTGTTTGGAGTCCCTGCCACGGCAGAGCGTGTGTCTGCCCTCGCTCCCAGGCTCCTGCCCGCCTGGCCAAGTGCTGGGTTATGGGATCCAGATGCTGGAGGAGGACGAGGAGTTCACTTGATGCATCTGAGGCACCCCCAGCCCAGGCGAGCCAGGGCAGGCGGCCGAACCCGACCGTGTGATGAGAGATTTGTGCCACCACTTCTGAGCCATCCAGGCGGCTGGAAGGGAAAAGCTGCCGCGCTTGGCCGTGGCACAAACCCCTCACGCTGCTGTAAATCTGCCTTGGGTGTCTGTCCCGCTCTCCAGACGCTTGGCGTGCGTGCCGTGCCCTCTCCTTTGTGGGTGGCAACTGTCTGGAGATCAGAGCCGAGAAACAGGGTTTCAGAGCCAGCCAGGACAAGAACTGGAGTCCTCAGAAGGGACTGGGGACAACAGTGCTGGCACACGCAGCACCAGGGACAGTCATGGTCCCTTGTGCCCCTCACAACACTGAACCTCCCCATGTGACACTAACTGGAGTGGGCACCGGGGGCAAGGACCCACAAAGCTGCCCAGTTTTTGGGGCAACCATTCTGATCCACAGCATGGACTCCCCCTCCCAGCGGAGCCCATGGCACAGCAGGGTTTATCCTGAATCCCCGTTTCTTTGGTGTCTCAGCACCAACACCTCGGCCAGCTGGAGGGTGTGTGGCAGCTTCTCAGGGTGAGCAAAGGTTTGGGTCCCAACAGCCTGACCCTGGAAATCTGGCAGTGGGTTTACCTGGGATGCAGCCAGGCTCCACGCTGGTTGTGCCACTGGTATGGGAACCATCCACAGGTGGAGGCATCCACAGGGAGGGAGAATTAGCACCTGTGACAGGATGCACTCCAAAGCCACCTTGCTCCTCAGCATGCCCAAATCCTCCCAGGGGCTGTCTGGGTCCCGTGGTGGAGGGCAGGTTCCCAGATCATGGCAGAGCTGAGCACGGCTGTGCCACGGCTTTGGGGTGTTGGTGCAGCCACTGCCCCTTTCCAGCACCCACAGTCCTTGCTCAGGGAGAAGCTGGGGTTTCTCCAGGCAGTTTCTGCTTGGGTTGAGCTGCCCCACCCCATTCCTGGGGATTTTGGGGTACCAGGACTGAGAGTCCAGCTATGGGAGATGTAGGGACAATACGCCAGTGTCCCTGTGCCCATGCCATCAGCACACCCAGACCCCCCACAGACCCACACTGCTGTTTCACGCCTGGGAGAGGGCTCTGGGGTCCCCAAATTCAGAAACTGGGTCCAGCACTAACACCTTGAAGGAGGATATGGGATCAGCATTCCATGGATGGGGCTCAGGTCAGATCATGTTGCCTGGCCAGCGAGCGAGCGCTTCTTTCCTTCTCCTTTTTCTGTTGCAGAGAAAACCGAACCCAAAAATAAAGGCAAAAAGCGACAGAAGAAGCCGAAGACAGAAAGGCACACGGGCACCTAGCGGGCACCAGCACGGGAGCTGGGGCACCATGGCAGGAGCTCCCAGACAACTCCTGCCACGGTGCTCCAGCCACATCACCCCTGTTTTTCCACCCACAGGAAAAAAAAAAAAAAATTGCACAATTTTCTCTGCCCCCCCATCCCCCTTTTCTTTTGAGACAATTTATGGCCTGTAAAACATTTCCTTTTCAGAAAATCTAATTTGCAATGTCCAAAGCAAAGCCCTAGGGCTTGGGGAGGGGGTGGCTCCTTTATTCCTCTGGTCGTCCCTCTCCCCTAGCCTGCTCCATCCCTTCCTCCAGACGGGTGGGATGGGGTTAGACCGGGGTTGGACCCTGCTAATGAAGCTGATGCCTGCCTGGATAGTGTTCCCCAGGGCTGGGAGATGCCCTGGCTCTACAGAGTCCTGATTTTATGGGAGTGCTGGGGGCACAGTGCACCACTGAGCTGCTCCAGGTGCTGGATAGTGTCCCCCATCCTCAGCCACAGGCATGGGAAGCAGCAGGACTCCTGGCGTTGGGACCCCACTGGGGACTGTGCCATTGCTCACAGCAGCCCAGCCTGGTGCTCAGTATCCCCACTGGCACAACCAAGGGCCAAATCCTGCTCTCCTGGGGCTCGGAGAGCAGCTGGACCTCCAGACTGACAAACCCTTCTTGGGATCATGCCAGCCCAGCACTCAGCACCCTCACAGGCCAAATCCTGCCATCCTCAGGCTCACAGAGAGGCTCAAAGATCTTCTCTCCCAGCTGGATGTGGGCACAGGAATTTGGGGTGACTGTATCTGTCTAGGACAGGGACAGGCACAGTGTGAGTGCAAGCCCAGGCAGGGGATGCTGCTGCGTCCTGGTCCCCAAACTGGGATGTGTTGGAAGCAGCGCTGCAAACCCCTCCCAGCCATCACCAGGGCGTGACCGTGGGGTGCTGAGCCCCCTCCCAGCCATCACCAGGGCGTGACCGTGGGGTGCTGAGCCCGGGCGTGCCAGTCTGTCCCTCCCTGCTGCGCTGCGTGTCCCAGGCACAGAGGGCTCTCTCGGGATGTATGCCATGTGTGCGCTTAAATCGCTGTCCAGCCGCAGGCAGCGCTGCCTTTGGGGATTGCCGGGGCGCAACTCCCCGTCCCCGCCCTGAGCGGGAGCAGGGAGAGGCCGGGGTGGCCGCGGGGTGTCGAGGCTGCGGGGGCTGCACAGACCCTTCAGGACGGGAGCGCTGGGTGTCAGCACCGAGCTGGCAGCCCCAGAGCCGGCACAAAGCTGCCGGAGCATCTCCTCCGATCGCTTCATGGCAAATAAATGGATTAAACCCCCGGCATTGCTCCTGTCCCTGTCTTCCCCATTCCCACGAGCTGCTGCCGGAGGGGGTTTGGAATGCTGGCCGTGGCCACGGTGCAGTCCCGTGTTCCACAGCTCTCCAGCTTGGGTCCCTGTGGGGGGACACCCTGCCCTGCCCCCCAGCACGGGGGTACTGGGGAAAGATTTGATTTAAAGTTTTAATGAGCATCACTCATTGCCTGAGCCAGCAGTGGGGCAAGCAGCAAGTGTGACACTGGGACTGCCATTCCACAGGACTGGGAATCACCAGGGTTTTTTTCTGGGTGTTGGAGAAAATCCCCCTCTGCTAAGATGCTTGGACATCCCCTTGGCAGCCTGTCCCCACCACGGGGATTGTCTGCTCCCGGGGGACACAGCCTAGCTCCTATCCCAGCCCATGGGCTGCCAGACGTGGTGTCCCCCAGTTCTGGTCAGAGTCACCAGCCCCCAACAGAGCCCGGCCTGGGATCTGGGCACGCCGAGCCCATGCACAGCGTGGCTGTGTCCTGCCAAGCCCTGCCTGGGACACAGCCCTCCCTCCTCCTGGTCCCCACGGGCTCGTCCATGGCCAGAGCAGCGCAATGCAGGCCTGGCTCCCGCTGGCACTATAAACAGCGGGACTCGGGGAGGGAGCGGGGCTGCCTGGGATGGGGGTGCCGGGTGCCGTGAATCCCAGCGGCTGCTGACCGGGGGCACCGGCGGGGTGCAGGGCTGGGGGGTGGGAGGGCTCGGCGCTGTCCACCCCGGGACGTGCGATGAGTTGTGCAGAGATCGCCCGGGGGAGGGACGGGGCTGCGTGTGCGACTGTGAGTGTGTGAGAGTGTGTGTGTGTGTGAGAGAGAGACATTTATAGATCACGTGTGAAACTTGATCTCCCCGCAGTGGACCCAGAGGAAAGAAAAAAGATAGAAGTATTGTTTTTAAACAGATTTTTTCCTTTGTTTTTCTTTTTTTTTTTTCTTTTCCTCCCCTCTCCCCCTGCGAGGGCTGGCGATAAAAGGCCGGGGCGGCCAGCGCCGGCTCAGAGGGAGGAAATGCCGAAATCGCCGCGGTCGGACGCGGCGGCGAGCGCCCACTGACCCATCCCGGCGCATCCCCCGCCGCGGCACCCCGGCCCCGCGGGGACCCCCGCGCCATGCGGGCGCTCAGCCTCGGCCTCGTGGCCCTGACCTGTGCCACCACGGCTCTGTGCGCTGCCGGAGCCCAGCGCCGGGCTCTGGAGGGCGGCGGCCGCCGGCGCTACCACCGCGTGCAGCACGGCCACTGCAGCTACACCTTCGTGCTGCCCGAGGCCGACCCTCTGCCCTGCCCCGCCGCCCCCGGCCCCGCCAACGTGCTGCTCCAGAGGGATTCGCCGGCCGGCACCGCCGGGCACGGGGCTGCCCAGCGCCTGCGGCACCTGGAGAGGATCCTGGAGAACAGCACCCAGTGGCTGCTGAAGGTAGGGGGTAGGATGGGGGATGTGGGGGGACACGCAGCGGGGTGGTGTGGGCAGGGATCTGTGCCCAGCACCCACTCATGCAGCATCCTTGTGGCACAGCTCGGGCACTGGGGCCTGCGCCCACCTGAGCATCCAGGTCAGCTTTTCTGTGCAGGTGTGCAGCTGGCATCAAGCACTGCCTGCATGGACGGGATGTGTGCTGCGGGTTCTGCAGGTGCTGCTGCAGATCACTCACCCAGAGCACTCCCCACTGAGGCTGTATTCCCTGTCCATCCTTGCCACAGGGCTCCTCATGGTCCTTGCTGGGTTAGCCGTGCCAAGCATCCCTTGGGGATCAGCATTCCAAGTTCTGGGCGAGGAGACTGGGAAGGGGTTTGGCCAGTGGTGGGGAGAGGGTCCCAAGGGCAGGGGCCACCAAAATCTCTCCAGCTTCATCATTTTCCCTCCTACAGGCTTTGCAGAAGCTCCCAGCACTTGGTGAGACTTTGTGTGGGAGCAGTGGGGTGCCACACCAGAGGGGCTGCGTACCCACAGGGTTGCCACCCTCAGCCCCCACTGGCTCACCCCGTCCCCAATGCCTGAGGCAGGAAGCAGCATTTCCTTCCTGGAGCCCCCAGCAGCTGAGTGTGACTGCCTGCGTCAGACCCAGGAATAGCTCATCCCACGGGACACATCCCTGGGGGCCCTGAACCCCACAGCCCGTGCCAGGAACACTGGGTACCTGCACTGATAAGAGGGGAAATGGCTTGTCCCCAGCTGTCACTGACCCAGCAGAGCCACATGCTTGTCCTGTGGTGTGCCACCAAGCTGCAATGGGACCTGTGTGCCTCTGTGCCATTTCCTGGGTGATGTCCCTGTGCCGAGCCCCTGCAGCACTCAGGGATCAGGATGGGGCCAACACACTGAGTGGGGATCCCGGGGATGGCCTGTGCCAGCCACGCTGCTTGGGTAGCCACCCTGGCTGTGGGGGACAGTGCAGGCAGCAGGGACGTGCAGGACGTTCTTCCTTGTCCCCTCAGCCATCCTAGAGAACAAATTCCTCAAGAGCTGGGAAAACGCTGAACCGTGGCTCTGCTGGCAGCCAGCCCAGAGTGCTGCAGAGGGGTCAGCAGGGCCAGTGACAACCTGGCTGGTGGCACCGAATCTCTGTCACTGTGGAACCTGCTGGGCCTGCTGGGTGCACACGAGTCCCGGGGTCCCTGTGCCCTGGGGTCCCTGTGCCTTGGTGTCCCTGTGCCCTGGTGTCTTTGTGCCCTGTGTGCCCAGGCCAGCTCTCGGGATGAGGGCAGCCTTTGTATGGCCAAGCAAGGCAAGGGATCAGGGTCCCACCACAGATGCACATGGCCCTGTGCAGAGCAGACAGCCACAGGCAAAGTGGGAGTGCACATCTGGGCAGCTGTGGGCAGCAATGCCCCTCACCACAGCCCCAAGGAGCACAAGGCAGTGGAGCACTGGGCAGCCAGTGCCTCATTCCTTCCCCATCCTCATCCTGTTCTATCCATCCATCCCATCACAACAATTCCACCCCATCCCATCCCATCCCATCCCATCCCATCCCATCCCATCCCATCCCATCCTGCAGCATAGCTCTCTCCTTTTAGAGGCAGCTTGCAGCTATGTTTTTTGGTGTTGTTCCTCAGCTTCCCAAATTTCAGCAGAGCTGCCCAAGAACGCTTGTTTTGGTCAGACTCCAGCCCTGAACAAACAAACGAGGGCTCAAAAGAGGCATTGGGTTCAGGGACAGATCGTAAACAATGTTGCATCCCTGTCTGCTCTGCCCTGGCACGGGGAGCTCCACAGGGTGCTGAGAAATTGGGAGGTCTCTGGTACCCAACAGGTTCCCCAGGTCCCCTCAGGCATCCCCAGCACTGGCCTCCCCCAGCAGCCCCATCCATGGCACTGGGGGCTCGCCCACCCTCCCCACTCAGCACCCCTTGGTGGGGACATGGCCAGGACCCAGCACACAAGGACACATCAGCTGCTTCCATCTCAGGAGGAATTCATTTTAGTTCAAACACAAACACTTGATGGTGCCACTGGGTCTAGCGGGGGACTTGGGGTGGGATGGGGTCTCCAGTGAGGCAGTGGCATCTTGGCAGCTCTGAGGTGCCTGAGGCACAGGGGCTGGTGCTGCTCACCCTGGGATGTGTGCAGTGGTATGGGGAGCAGGTGAAGGGTTTTCCACCCACCTGTGACTCAAGGATTCCTGAGCCGGTGCTTGTGAAATGTTTAGAAATGCCAGAGCGGGACAGGAACTGGGGCATAGGGGAGGGATGTGGCTGCAAGAAGGCAGCACAGGATGATCCAGCTGTGGGCAATGGGATCCCAGCATGGGGACAGCAAGTGGCTGAGTTACCTCCTGCTCCATGGTGATGTTTTGAGGTGAACAAAACAGCACCACAGCTCCTCCCGCAGCAGCTCT